TTAGAGTATGTCGAGTTGCTCTTGGGTTTCATAACTGATGCCTCGTGCATATTTTGTTCGACTTCACGAGCTTTCCGTTGTAATTCTTCGAAAGTCTCGAAGCTATCCCGAGGAATCCGTTCTCGGATTCTTATGTTTAATAATTCATAAATCATATCGATCTGTTGTTCATCGGTATGTATTGGAGGTGGTAGAGCTGCTAATAGGACCTTTTTCTCACACACAAAAAGATCAGTCGCCGTGGTTTCGTCTTGATGCTTACCAAATATTTCCAAGTAAGTCTAGTATGGCGCCTTCTTCGGTGAGAATGCTTTTTGTAATAGTTCAAGCGCGTGTTTCCAGTCTTTTGCTTGCTCTTTGTTCCCTTTCCACCATAGTGCAGCCGTATTTGTAAGAAGAAGCAGTAATCCTTTTAACGCATTTTTGTCGCTTATCCCTTCTATTTCCTTGTATGTTGCCACGTTGTTAAGAAATCCACTTGGGCTGGATCTCTGCTTCGCGTATCGCAGTTAGCGAAGCTCCCACTCTTCTGTGGTTGTGTTGTCGGCTGTTGCACTGTATTTACCTGTACTACAGCGCTTAGCACACGCTGTAGCTGCTCTTCCGTCAGGCTCATTTTGCTGCGTGGGCTTATCTTCTTTTATTCGAATTAGACTCCGTCTTGCTTATCTTGGCCCCACGTTGGGCACCAATTGTAAAGGGATATTTGTATTATAAAATAACTTAAACAGCTTTGGAGTAGTGTTCTTGTATTTAAATATATATATATACAAATATTTACAAATTTTAGTAAGTTCTGACAAGAGGCAAGATTATTAAAGTCTTCTATTGCTGGAAGGATCGTAGCCAAGCTTCTAGATTGAGCCAGTTACCAAACGTTTGAGTGTTTATTTCCGTGTATCTCAACGTACTATATCCACTTGGAACGTCGGTTCAGACTCTCTCAAGTTGCTTTAATAAGTGTTCCTACTGTGTGTACTAACTTATTGGCACGCTGAGAGCTGATCCGCAAAGAGACAGATTCTGGAACGGGGCTCTGGTTTTATACTCTGGAGGTCCGTCGAAGCCCATTCCTCGTTGCTCTGGGGGTAGGTGATGGACATTCTCCCATCTCGTTCCATCTTCCCTGTTCGCGATGGTTTGTTCTTTTTCCTTATCTCGTCTTGGTCTTCGGCGGTCATGTCCTTTTCTGACCTGTGCTTATACTTGGACATGACCCGCACTGGGGTGTTTTTAGCTAAATATTTATCAAGCTACAATTCTATTTTCTAGTTCTTTAAAACCACTAGGTGTTCTTTAAAACTTTCACCTGGAACACATTTTGATATACCTTGAATATGTTGAGATATACACACGTGGATTAGCGGAGCCTTTTTGACGTTTGTGACCTTGCTCATTATACGGTCCAACGAAAGAGAAAGAAAACTTTCTGAATTTTTCAAGAATGTAGGTGTACCAAAAGCTATTACTTCCTTTGCTTTTTTGGGGCTTATATCACAACAAATAACACATATCAAACGAACAATTATCTGACTACTTTCAGTAAACTGCCTTCTACTTCATCATTGTAGAGCGGGGTAACTTGAAACGAGCACGTGGCAAAAAGGTTTAAAGCCTTATTATAATTTTAAAGTTATATTACAAAATATTTACATTTTTAACTAATGCTAAAAAACTACCAACGGAAGAAAATACTTTTATTATGGATTTTCAAAGATTACCGTTTTCAAATCAAGGTCATAGCTGGTTACACATCTTTTTTCCTCTACTTTTAAATATTGTTGTTAAACAATGCTTAACTTTACTGATTTTTGAAACATCGGTGGTCGACCTTTTTAACCCCGGACCTTCATATATTACTATATATTCTTCGATAAATTCTGGGAAATTATAACTAGTAAAATGTTATTCGACAAAATGTCCATTTGATCAATACCAAATTTAGGTTCTGAATTTAAATAACATAAATAAAAAATAATATAACCTAGAAAATGTTTTATAAAAACCAATGAGTATATTATATTATACAAAAGAGATCTTTCAGAGCACTGTGTTTAAGAAAAATATGCCAAAAAGTGCGTTTTCATATTAACATTTCAAAAAAGTTGATATTTTGAGTTTATAGTAACACTTGAGGCCCGTTTAATAACGTTTTTGTGTACAAATAAAACTACAAACAAAACTACTTACGACAATTTAATCATCATTAAATAATATTCACGTAGGACAAAGTCATTTCTAATTGTAAGACATCCTATCAAACGTAATTGAACATTATCTGTCAAAAACGTTTGACATAAAACCTTCCGGCCGTCCTGCTAAAAATGACAAATTATTTAAATTTTCTGGTTTCATCTGTTGTGCTTTTCATTCAATATAGTATCAGCTTCGGAAAATAATCTTCCTGCTGGTACAGTCGTAGCTATAATGGTGGCATATTCTCGAAATTTATTATATAAATTGGAAACAATTTCCCTCATATCTTTACATGATTCTATGGGGTTGCTTGCTAAGGGCGTGACTGGATTATTTAGATATAAATCTATTTCATCACGCCTTTTATTTCCTTTTTGTCTGGCGCTATTTTTGAAGTAAAGCTTCTTTAGGCGCGACATGGGTGTAAAAACTTCTTTAGGCGCGATACGGGTGTAAATCCGTACAAATGCAACGAAAACGCCAACGTGAAGTTGAAAACTACGACGCTAGTAAGCAGCTATCGCAATTATTCGATCTAGTCTGCGAGCAAAACAAAAAATACTTCAAATGTCAAATCATATGTCAAAAACAAAACAAAATGTGTCGACTTTCACTTGAGTTTTGTATTTATCTCGTAGTCTCTAAACATTTTTTGAAGTAAAACTTCTTTAGGCGCGACATGGGTTAGCAGTATAATTCGTGAGTTAATAAAAATGTCAGGATCGGAAGAATATTTTATCCCGTCCCCCGTAAATAATTGTAGTGCAAATAATCGCAAATCAATAATGAAACTGAGGAAAAATCTGCGCTGCGTAAGAAATGATAGCTTTGGCTATGTATGTTTTGTATGTGATCGATTTTGGCTTCAAAGTGACTTAGAAATATCAAATGATGCTCAAAAACAAATTCTTAATAATGTTTTTTGAATATTGATTCAAATAATCAGGTTGGATGTCAAGCTTGTCGAAAGATATTAAATTCTGGTAAAATTCCCACTTTGTGTAAGTTTAACGGGTTTGTATTTTCACCTATACCAAATTATCTACCTAAACTAGATACTGTATCTGAAAGGTTAATTTCACCTAGGTTGTATTTCATGCAAATTAGACGATTGCGACATGCAAATAGACAATTTGGAATGTTTGGCCAAATTATAAATGTGCCTGTTGACATTAATAATATGGTTAATTTATTACCTCGTAATATTGATGATGATCATTGCATTAACGTTCACATAAAAAAGCAAATGATTCATCGATCAAGCTATGTGCAGGGCTTGATAAATAAAACAAATATAAAAGTATGGCTTCAATTTGTTAGGCAAAACGGATATTACAGCTGTTCAAGGAATGAGATTATATCGTCAGCGAGAAAGTAAAAAAATACAAACAGTAAATGAATGTATTTTAATTTTATTTACATGAAGTTCTTCAAACACAATTGTTACAGGATGAGTTAATTTGCAAAAACAATATTTGTTTAGGCGTTGTTTAATATAATCCACTGTGTGAATGAATATTATAGAATTTATTAATCAGCAATTACTTTAAAACGATTATGTCATATTTCAAGTACGACTTTGATTACATTATTGTTTGTAAATATTATACATATTTTTAATGCAATCATAAATATATAATTTATCATTAAATAAATGTGTATAAAGATTGACGACACTGATAAATGTGTGCATCACGAGTGTTACCATATTACTAATAAACATTATTCAAAATTTTTATATGATGTATTTATTTCTACTCAACTTAAATTTGCTATTTTATACAGTAGCAAATAAGTTTTACTTCAATCGCGTGTGATCCTTACGCCCACTCTTTTTTTTATGTGACTGCCAAAAGTCAAAACTATCTGGTGTGACATCAATATCCAAACTTGTAGTAGCACTGTTCAAACAAATTTAATTTCTCATTGCATTTATTGCTTTCTCCTCTCTTCCTGCAGATGGTACGTAGAGGACTGGATTGGAACCGCGTTAGCATTACATCAATCCAGTCCGTGCTGCGCCTTGCGACGCCTGCTTTCGACTACTAGTCCTTTAAAAGGTGCTCTGCAGTTTTCTTCTTGTTTTATCGTGTAGGTCACAAGACTTGAGGGGGTGAGCCTGGTGCCTATAATGTGCTCGGCGTTGTTACGATAGTTGTTCCACCGAGCACATTCAAAGAACGTGTGCTCAGCGTCGTCGATTTTATCTGGTCAGTATTTGCACATTGGAGTGCTATGCAAGCCCATCTTAAAAAATAGGCGTTAAACCAGCGGTTTCCAACCTTTTTTTCCTTGCGCCCCCCTTTTGAAAGAAAAAAATATTGCGCCCCCCCTAATTTTTTTAACAATTTAATTTAAATATACTTAATTGAAATTATGATTTATTCAATCTCGTACCAAATAATGCACAATATACATACATACAAAAATAAACATACAAAAATATACATACAAACATAACTATGGATCATAGGAAAAAAATAATTTTAAATTTAATAAAAACAAATGATATAATATTTCACACAATATTAAAAATTTAATGCGACGGTTGAGCTTGTTTTTTAGCACAAATTTTCTCAAACCGCGGCTCCATTGTAGAAATCGCTGTTCTCAGTTCCTTTTCTATCACTAAACGAGATCGGTACTTTGTTTTTAATACTGCTACTGAGAAAAACCAGTTTCACATAAGTAGGATGTCACAAATGGTAATAAAATTTCTAAAGCTTTATTTGTCAAAGTTGGAAAATCGTCCTTTACTTGTAACCAAAACTTAACAATATTCTTTTCGTCCTGAAACATCTGCTTCAATGTGCTATAATAGATAAATCAATTAACATTTCCTGCTCTGCCGTTGGAAGTCCAAAATCATCATATTTATCAATAACAAATGGATTTCTAATCCATTCGTATTTGGACATATCTAGATCTTTGAAGTAATGCGCAAATTGGTTCCTTAAACTAGTCATATGATTGATAATAAGATCTTTACTTGCTTCTATTTCATCATCAGTAACACATGTAGTTTTAAAAGAAGGAAACATATCAAAGTTATTACTTTTCATACTAGCTATCCACAGATCTATTTTTTTCATAAACGCCGTAATCTTGTCCTTTTGAACAAAAGCATGAATTTGAGTTCCTTGCATTGATTTATTTAAATCACTTAGTCTTTTAAAAATGTCAACTAGATACGCAAATTTTGCGAGAAACTTCGTGTCATAAAATATGTCTGCTTCATTTCTTTTATTATCAGCAAGAAAAATGGCAATTTCTTTTTTGAGCTCAAATACCCTTTGAAGTACTTTAGCACGAGAAAGCCAACGTGCTTCACAATAATAAAGTAGTGCTTTGTATTCTGAGCCCATGTCATCACACAATTTTCCAAAAAGCCTTTCTCTTAATGGACTATTTTTGATAAAATTAACAACTTTTATTATAATTTCAAATACTTCAAGTAATTCTTCACCCATATTTCTTGCAACAAGAGATTGCCTATGAATCATACAATGCGTCCAAACTGCACGAGGAGCCACTTTTCGAACTAGGGCCTGCAGACCAGCATTTTTTCCTGCCATAGATGGAGCTCCATCAGTGCACAGTCCAACACAGTTCTCCCATAAAATACCATTTTCAATAAAAAAGTTATCAATCATATTAAAAATTTCACTCGCCGTAGCTTTGCCTTCAATTGCCTTACAGAATAACAACTCTTCTCTAATATCATTTTCCATAACATATCTTATATATGTTATTAAGTGTGCATCATTAGCAACATCGGTAGCCTCATCTACTTGCAACGCGAAAGAAGATAATTTAATTTTTTCTATCAACTGATCGCAAAGATCATCAGATATATCTGATATTCGTCTTCCCACCGTATTATCTGCCAGCGGAATGCTTTTAATTTGATCAGCATATGATTCACCAAACATCGTAGCTATTATGTCAATAGCTGCTGGTAGTACTAAAGTTTCTCCTATTGAATGGGGTTTTTTCATTTAGCAATTCTATACGAAACTTTGTATGACGCAAGTAACGCTTTTTGTGATACAGACAAAGCTTTTGAAAACGATTCTTTCTGTTTATTTAAGTTATCTAATTTTCTTTGGAAAAATTCTTTTGTTTTGCCAACATGATCGGCGTGCACTTTTTCCAGATGTCGTTTTAATTTACTTGGTTTCATGCTATCTGAGGCCAAAGTATTCATGCACAGCAAACACATTGGTCGTTCTTGACCATTAATGATCTTATACGTAAATCCCAATGATAAGTACATTGGATCATATTTTCTATGTTTAGTTTTACTATTTTGTGAAGAAACATTTCCATTATTTTCACCACCCTCTTCTTCTGCTTCATTAAATTTTCTTTTCAACCCAGTCACGTATTTATCCATTACAAACGGTTTTTATAACAAATCAAAGAAAATCACTTTTTCACTACTTTTCACAATAATTCCTGGCTAATAATGTGCTAAAACTAAAGCTATAAATTTTAACTCAATAATAATTTAGAAATGATTTTTTCTATATATCAACGCGTGTATCTCCAGCACAACTAATGAACTAATTCGATTTATAGATAACAGAATAAAAAGGATGCTTTTGTTTATTTACTTAAGTTAGTCTCGAGTAAGCACGTGAATATTCGATATGATCCGAGTGTTTATCTTTTGTTTATAGGCCTACAGCTCACTCAACTACAAACGCAAAAACGAAATATTTTGAATGCACCAAAAGTATAGTATATTCATGCTTTTACATTTGTCCTGACAAAATTGCTGCGAAAATTGTAGATTACTTGCATACATTTTGCTGATTTGGTTTTGACACTTACTCAGCATTTAACATCCATATTTTTGAAAGAGCTTCGCGCCCCCCCCTGGCACTGCACCGCGCCCCACCAGGGGGGCGCGCCCCACAGGTTGGAAATCGCTGCATTAAACTGTCCATGTCCTGTCATTAGCTGGGTCAGAAAGAAATCTGTGTCCCCGTATTGTCGAGAGAGCCAGACGCTAATTTCCGGAATCAGACGCGCCGTCCATCTGTCCGTCTCTCCTGGCGTCCATCGATTTTGCCACTCTTGTAAAGTTTCTTTTTCTATTCTCGACCTTGTTTCTTTGAAGCTGTCGCCACCTATTCTAGCGTCGTAAAGTTTTACTCTCTCGAATGCTAGCAAGTCAATTGGTAGTGCTCCTGCTATTACCAATACAGCTGCTTCAGAGACCGTGCGATAGGCACAGGTAACTCTTAGAGCTCCTCGAATTTGCACTGATGCTATTTTGCGCCGATATGTTTTGCTCCGTATAGCAGCACAGAATGGACTACCTCAAGCAGGACTCGTTGTTTTCGGGTTCGTGGTCCCAAGCAGTTAGCCATAATCCTTGACAAGTTGGATACCGTCTTGCTAGCTTTTATGCATGCACTATCGAGATGTTCACGGAAGGATAGCTTCTCATCTATCATTAGTCCCAGGTGGCGCAAGGCCCTTGTCGACGTCAAAGTTGTCTCTCCTATGTCTACAGTGAATGGTTTTGGAAACCATTTTTGTCGGGTCAAGACAACCATCTCCGTTTTCTGTTTGGCGAGTTTTAGGTGGTGTTTATGGTATCGACGGTAAATGCTCCCTGCGATCCGACACGTTTGAATGTTGAACGACTACTGTAGTTCGGCAGCCAAAGAAAGGTCCCGATATAAAAATATTTTAACTTTTAATTTTTTGATGGTGCTCCTTTACTTGGCTATCAATGATTCGATTATAGAATTATGCAAAAAGGGATAAAACATTCTTTCTATTTTGAAAAAAAAAAAAACAATGTGAACCTGCACTAAATAAATATAAATAAATAAGCTGGATCTATAAAAATAAAATCGTCAAGTGCTCAAGGATCGTTTAAATTTTAAATCATTAGATAATAATCCAATTGTTTCAATTTCAGCCGCTGATACAATGACGGGACCCATTCGCATCACTGATTGTAATTTGTGCGACATATGGAACTAATTTAAAAAAAAAAATCTGGCATGTGGTAACACGAATTCCACCTTGTTTTTACAACTAATATGAGCTTTAATGGCTTATGTAAACTTTCACATTGAGCCTTTTCAAGCTTATGTGAAGCTACCACACATTTTGTTAAATATTCGACTAAGTTTCTTACTTTTTTAATAAAATTTATGACATCAGAATCAGCAAGTGCCTTATCTGTAATTAAATATAGTATGTGCAAAACAAGATTGGTGTTTTTCAGTTACTCTCTATTCATTAAAAAAAAATACGCACAGCACCCATATCATATTACTGCCGTTGCGGGGATAATAGCTGTTACTTCATTTATGTCTAGTCCCCAATCCTGTATTACAGATTTTAGTTTATCCTGTATATATTCTGCTGTATGCCTCTCCGATAAATTTATTGTTTCTAAATTAGACGATGCTAAAAATTTATTATTTAAATAATGAATAGTTATTCCAAGGTAACTCGTCATATTTAAAGTGTCGGTCCATATGTCGCACGTTAAACTATAAAAAGGTTTAACTTTAAGGTCGATGACTAATTAATTTTTTAACGAATGATATTTATCATTCCTTAGTTTTTTCAAAATGAATATCAGAAGGTATTTTGTAATTGTTTTCCAAAGTTTTAATTAATATAATAAATCCTTTACCATTTATCGTATGAAAGGATTTGTGGTCCACACAAATATAATTCAGTATTTTCTATGTCTATCGCCACCGTGTTGAACCGATGTGCGCGCTTCAAAAGCACGCATAATTGGATTAACCAGCTTTTCCTCCGGCACATCGACATATTTCTGCTATCTTACTGGTACTTTGTTTCTAAAACAATATTTTTAAATTAGCAATAAATAATGTTTTCATGAGAAATAATTTATAATTTTTAATTTGTCACATCCAAACTAATTTTTTTTTCAATAAAATAAACTTAAAATATAGCCACTATGATTTTTAGATAAATACAGCGTTTCTGATACAAATAATCTAGGAGAGGATTCGCTGATCTTATATGAAGTATATGGATGGCGACTTCTCAAGTGTTTGATTAAGTTTGTAGTATTACCACATGTTTGTAGTATTATCACATAGCACTGTTACTCATTTTTATTTATACACAAATAAAAATTTGAAAGGTTTAAAATAAATTAATCAAAATAATTTAACAACTTGCAATAACGATTGGAATAGACGACTAAACTATGAGAATTCTCTAAAAGGAAAACACATAAAGTTAACTACTTGACTGATGAACTAAGAATGATTTGTCTTGAAAATATTTTCATATTCATACAGAAAGGGCCAGCTGAAATCCGATTTCTAAAATATGTTCGTAATGTACACAAACTGAAGCCGAAACATATTAAGATTCACGTATCATAAACAAAATATTGTTCTTCTGTTTCTGACACTTCTTTGAACAGTTATGACCACCTAGAGAGACTATTGCATTGCATTTGGCATATGTGGTAAGTCGCTGAGCGGTGTTCATAGATTATGCTGTCGATACTTTTTGAAGATTATCGACGAAAAAATCGATATTATCGAGATAAAAAATCGATAGTAAAAGTACTCACTATCGACAGCATAGTATCGATCTTTCGTTTTAACACTAATGGCAAGAGGCCTAGATAAATAAGCATACCCAGGAGGTCTTGAAACATAGATATTTAAAAAGTTTCATTTTCGATTTTTGAACTTACTGTATAGTTCAGTCATTTAGTAGTTTTACCTTAAGAGTTTTTCGGATGTTTTGAAAATTGGTGATTTTATAGATTTTGATGTGATCTTTACGAATTTCAACTTTGCGACCTCGAATTTTTGCCGCTGCCGACGCTATGTTGGAAAAATTGCGTAAAAAATCAGTTTTTCAACGATATCTCTTTTTTGACTTATGTTACATTAAAATAACTATATACAAAATTAAACTAGAGAAAATTTCTCGCCGCTCTTTGCACTTGAACGCAATCTCTTTAATGAATAAACAATTTCAATGTTGAATTAAGCTTTTCTGCTCAGATCTGGCCTTTAAATAACGTAAATTAATTATTTTTGTTTTTCATTTTTATTTTTGCTGACAATTAAACATTTTAAATCATTGGATATGTAATTTAATGCAATATTTAAATTGTTTGTAAGAATAGTTTTATACTAAATTAAACTAGATTTTTTTTTATTTATTTAATTAACTTTTTACCTCTAGTTTGATGTTCTCGATGTCGTCTCGTCATATGTTATTATTAATCGTCTTCAGGGACGATCGAAACGTCAGAGGTTGCACTTTCTTCGATATTATCCGCGATTATCGTCATTGCAAAGTTGGTTCTAAAATGCTATCGGCGTCTTCCTCTTCATCACTATCTTGTGATGGAACTTGTGCATTACTACAATTTGTGCAGAATGGAGCACTTCAATCCTGCTTTTCTGCATCCACAGGCTTTCTGACATCCCTTTTTGCATTTGCAAGAAATCAGTTTCAGCGACGTGTCCGGAGCTGGGGGCTCGAGTGAGGTCTCAGGTATCAGGCCATTTTTGCTTCTTTTCCATTCCCATTGTTCCGCATTCACCTCATTCCCATACCACTGCTAAATTTGGTGATATGTTCGGAATGAATGTTGTCGTGCTGCCGCCTGCGTTAGTGGTAGTGATTTAATTTTGTATGCCGATTTTGTACTGCACGCATATCTAAAGACGTTTAGATTTATTTTTTATTTTCTCATCACTACAACCGCACAATTAAAGAAGGAAGCGTTTTGCAGCTGTGGCAATGATCTCTGGATTAGCTTTTGGATTTTTAAATATAATAGCTTCTTTTAGATCTTAATTTTTACATAGTGTATTTGTATATTTTATTTTACCTTGATTAAAAATTGCTGAAGTTGTATCGCAGCCACTGAAGGCATGCAAAAACAATATATGATCTGCGGCTGTTTTATCTATTAGGCTACTTGTAGAATATAATTGTTGCAAAATTTTTCCTCTTC